TGATTGAGGTCATCTCGAACCTCTTCCCATGTCAACCCTGTCATACTCAGATGTCTCCCAGCAGCTTTCACGATTAGCTGAATCCTCTCTGTTTTAGACTCTACTTTAGCAGTGCTATTGATAGCTCCTGCTATGAATGTCACCAACTTTCTCTTATCTATGTATACCATATCGCTGCCCTCCTGGTCCATAATCCCAGGCCTAGATGCTCCTACCCATCTCTCCCTTGAACCTGTATCTCCCTGGACCTGGACCACCCTCACTGCCTCAGCATATGACACCCTTCTCTCCACTCTCATTTGTAGCACATCCACTGTCTGCTTCATAGCCTCTCACCCACTATATGCCACACTATGAGCCCCATTGACCTTTCAAAACATATCTAATTTGTTCTGCCCTAAACCACTCAGATTATTTTAGGCCCTTAGAACAAAATTGACTACACTTTGTCAATCTGCATATTGCAGTTATTGCAGTGTTGCACAGGATCACAAATTAGATCACTAATTGGACTGTAGACCTAGGCCTATATATATCACCAGCTATAGCAAGCTGATATAGAGGAGAACGTTCACCAGGCTCAATTTCAAACTGAACACTGTAAAGTGAATTGCAAATATTCTATTAACTATCATTATGGTACGATAATAAAGTTGTTTCTATTTTTTACAGAGGAAAGGACTGTACCTCGCTCCACCAGATGAGAGTAAGGTCCTGGGTCTGGAGGTGGCTGACACGGGGGCCACAATAAAATAACAATAATGAGGCTACATAAAAGGAGTACCAGTACCGAGGCAATGTGCAGGGGTATGAGGTAGTTGAGGTAATTGAGGTAATACAGTATGTAAATGTACACTGAACAAAAATATATAAACGCAACATGTAAAGTGTTGGTCTCATGTTTCATGAGCTGAAATAAAAGATCCCCGAAATGTTCCATACGCACAAAAGCTTATTTCTCTCAAATTGTGTGCACAAATGTGTTTACATCCCTGTTTGTAAGCATGTCTCCTTTGCCAAGATAATCCATCCACCTGATAGGTGTGGCATATCAAGAAGCTGATTAAACAGAATGATCATTACACAGGTACACCTTGTGCTGGGGACAATAAAAGGCCACTCTAAAATGTGCAGTTTTGTCACACAACACAATGCCATAGTTGTCTCAAGTTTTGAAGGAGCGTGCAATTGGCATGCTTACTGCAGGAATTTCCACCAGAGCTGTTGCCAGAGAAGTGAATGTTCATTTAAATGTTGTTTTAGAGAATTTGGCAGTACGTCCAACCGGCCTCACAACCGCAGACTACGTGTATGGCGTCGTGTGGGTAAGCGGTTTGCTGATGTCAACGTTGTGAACAGAGTGCACAATGGTTTGCGGTGGGGTTATGGATTGGGCAGGCATAAGCTACAGACAACGAACACAATTGCATTTTATCAATGGCAAATGGAATGGACAAAAATACAGTGACGAGATCCTGAGGCCCATTGTGAGGCCCATTTTTTTTAAGGTATCTGTGACCAACAGATGCATATCTGTATTCCCAGTCATGTGAAATCCATAGATTAGGGCCTAATGAATTTATTTCAATTGACTGATTTCCTCATATGAACTGTGCCTCAGTAAAATCAATGAAATTGTTGAACGTTGTGTTGATATTTCTGTTCAGTATAGGTAGGAGTAAAAGTGATTAGGCATTCAGGATAGATAATAAACAGAGTAGCAGCAGCCTGTGTGGAGAGTGTGAAAAAAGTGTGTCTGTGTGAGTGTGTGTTTTGTGTGAGCGTATGTAGTGTATGTGTGTATGTGTATGTGTGTGTGTGTGTGTGTGTGTGTGTGTGTGTGAAAATAACAGTCTATGGGTGGCTGGAGTCTTTGACAGGGTCAAAAGCCTTGGCCAGGTCAATGAAGACGGCTGCACAGTACTGTCTTTTATCGATCGCGGTTATTAAATCGTTTAGGACCTTGAGCGTGGCTGAGGTACATCCATGACCAGCTCGGAAACCAGATTGCATAGCGGAAAAGGTACGGTTTGATTCGAAATGGTCGGTGATCTGTTTGTTAACTTGGCTTTCAAATACTTTCGAAGGGCAGGATGGATATAGGTCTGCAACAGTTTGGACCTAGAGTGTCACCCCCTTTGAAGAGGGGGATGACCGCGGCAGCTTTCCAATCTCTGGGGATTTCAGACGATACGAAAGAGAGGTTGAACAGGCTGGTAATAGGGGTTGTGACAATTTCGGCGGCTAATTTTAGAAAGAAAGGGTCCAGATTGTCTAGCCCAGCTGATTTGTAGGAGTCCAGATTTTGCAGCTCTTTCAGAACATCAGCTATCTGAATTTGGGTGAAGGAGAAGCGGGGGGGGGGGGGGGGGGCATGGAAGTTGCAGCAGAGGGTGCAGAGCTGGTGGCCGGGGTAGGGGTAGCCAGGTGGAAAGCATGGCCAGCCGTAGCAAAATGCTTGTTGAAATGTTCGATTATCGTAGATTTAACGGTAGTGAAAGTGTTTCCTAGCCTCAGTGCAGTGGGCAGCTGAGAGGAGGTGCTCTTATTCTCCATGGACTTTACAGTGTCCCAAAACTTTTTGGAGTTAGTGCTACAGGATGCACATTTCTGTTTGAAAAAGTTAGCCTTTGCTTTCCTAACTGATTGTGTATATTGGTTCCTGACTTCCCTGAAAAGTTGCATATCGCGGGGGCTGTTCGATGCTAATGCAGTACGCCACAGGATGTTTTTGTGCTGGTCAAGGGCTGTCAAGTCTGAGGTGAACCAGGGGCTATATCTGTTCTTAGTTCTGAATTTTTTGAATGGGGTATGCTTATTTAAGATGGAGAGGAAAGCACTTTTAAAGAACAACCAGGCATCCTCTACTGACGGAATGAGGTCAATATCCATCCAGGATACCCGGGCCAGGTCAATTAGGAAGGCCTGCTCGCTGAAGTGTTTTAGGGAGTGTTTGACAGTGATGAGGGGTGGTCGTTTGACCGCGGACCCATTACAGACGCAGGCAATGAGGCAGTGATCACTGAGATCCTGGTTGAAGACAGCGGAGGTGTATTTAGAGGGTAAATTAGTCAGGATGATATATATGAGGGTGCCCATGTTAACGGATTTAGGGTTGTACCTGGTAGGTTCCTTGATAATTTGTGTGAGATTGAGGGCATCTAGTTTAGATTGTAGGACGGCCAGGGTGTTAAGCATATCCCAGTTTAGGTCACAAAGCAATACGAACTCTGAGGATAGATGGGGGGCCAATCAATTCACATATGGTGTTCAGGGCACAGCTGGGGGCTGATGTAAAAAGGGCTTTATAAATACAATTTGATTGATTGATTGATTATTCAATCATTGCACCCACACTGCTAGCCTGTCAACTTGGTTCTATTTGTGACGCTGCAAGTCCCGCCTCTCCCATCTCCTCATTGGTTTTTAGGAGCATATTCCCATGTGGGTGATTGAAAGATGAACTGAGGTACACACTCCAGTCCAGTTGGTAGGGGTAATGCACTTTAAAGTTGGTTGCCAATCGCCATATAAAGTCCAAAGTGGAGATAACTAGAAACAAACTCTGTTTATCCTTTTATATGTGGATTAATTGTCAGAGTAGAGGACCTTGTGCGTTTCTATCCCAGGACAAATTAGCTAGCAACAGCAAACTAACTAGCTAAATTGACAAATGTTTAATGCTTTTCGACCTGTCCCCAAATTAATATAGTTGGTTCAGAGTTCGTTTTGATATTTCAACCTGCGCATCCTGATCGCGTCTGGTGAGGGTGGACAAAATTAACATGCGCGCGATGGCTAGTCAGCATGTTACAGTTACATGTTATACTGTGTGTTCCTTTTCCGTATGTCGCGGATAGAAACATATGGCAAAGATTCTATGCACATGGCCGCAATTACGTTCCATTACAATGAGAGCGCGTGTGTGATTTTATGCGCAAACCCGCCACAAGCTAACCCCGTGACTACAAACCGGAATTGGCAGGCTATACTTACATTTTCTACTTCCTGCATTCACCGGCAACTTTTGTTTTGGGAGGGAGATTGTTTCTGTGAGTCTACACTTGTTATTTTTTTTTATTGGCAATTGCGTCAAAGGTAATTGTGCCACAGACACCACCAAATTCTAGGGACACCAGGAGACTATCGACCCCCGTCGAAAAAAAGTGGGTAGAATGTGTGTGATTGTTTGGTCTTATGCATTTTACTTCCTCATGCATAGTTTATCTAAACAACTGAAAGTGTAACTTTCCCACAATCTGTTTCAGGATCAGTCTTTAAAGGTGGATGGATTATTGTATTTTTTTCTCATCGATGTTTTCATTGTCTCAAATTAATAAACTACAGAGGTTCATTCAAGGAGCATGCATGATCGAGTGTGAATGGTTATGCGGTAGGTCAGTAGGTGGGGTGGGGTTAGCCCGGAATCTGTGCGTTAGAGATGTCGACGATGAGTATGACGTGTCTGTTCGCTAACGCCCAGGACACTGATTCAAACTCCCATTAGACTGCTCTACAAGCGTTATTGCATTACAGACCAATATAGTCTTGTAGGCCTTCGTAAATCCATGACTCTTACATTTAACATGCAACTCACATAGACCTACACATAATAAACCATAGGCCTATAATTAATGAGAATAGAACATAATGCCCTGATATAACAGTAATAATCACAATAGGCTTGGCAACCTCTCACTGGCTCAACCAGGAGATGGTAGGCAAGGCTCAGCGACCAGGAGATGGTAGGCAAGGCTGCCGCAAAATAAACCATTTAACACTAGGTGAGCTGAGAGCTTCATATTGACTCAAAACGAATTTACTTTTTGAAGTACTCTGCCATTTTTAAAGTTGTCTCCCCGTCCTTGACTTTTCCTAAATAAGTGTAACACACTATCTTTTTAGAATCTTAATATCCCAAGCATAATTTATGTTATAAGCAGTCATCCCCCCCCAGCTAAACTCCATTTGGTGAGTAACGAACATATTTTGACATAATAATGCTTGCAGAGCTGTCTAATGGGAGTTTGAATCTGAGCTTCCAGGGCGTTAAAGAAGAGACAGGTCATACTTATCGTCGACATCTCTAACACACACTGGCACCGGGTGGGGTTAATGCATAATTGAAGGGGTGAAATGCAGGCTGGTGACAGACAGAAAGATAAGTTGGCAAATTGTTTGCATCATTGTGTCATGAGCTAAAACACAAGCAAAGTCTATGATCTTTCACAATATCCTCATGGCATACCTGTCATAGCTGTTGTATTTATCACAGTTGCAGGTCTAAAACATGGCGGAACCAAACCAAAGGCCTCAACGTAAGATGTCCACCGCAGGTGACAGTCTATACAAGATACTAGGACTGGAGCAGGGGGCATCCGCAGAAGAAATAAAGAAGGCATACAGGTATAAACGGGACCTCCTAAACATTTTATGGGCCTAATCATAGAATTACATATAGAATCCCTATTAATTCAATATAATGTCTGTGGGCCTAGTTGTAAAGATTTGTAATTTAACTTTTAAAATGTATTACCATTTATTGTGGCATAAACAATAACCAGTCATGATGTTTTTATCTGATTGTCAAACGATCACTTCAAAGGGCTCCTTTACTAGGCTACCCGCACATGTTCATCCACTGGCAACATATTTCCAGCCTCCAAACAGTGGTGAATGAAAGAGACATCTGTTTCACAAAACACCAAAAAGTGTAATGACATTTGGCGATTGTCATTAGGCCAGAATTTATGGGTCCACTACTGTCTGCGTGCGTCTCTGTGTGGCCCACTCATCTCTGCCTTGGCAAAATGTCAGCGTTCTTGTCACATTTTGGAGTGTAGGCTATACCAGTTGCCTGTTTTTCATGTTATTTTGGCATTAATACGTGCCACATATCAGTTTGCAAACAATGTAAAATAAAAATCATTGAGTTAATAGAACCTCCATACAAACATGGTCTCTTTTTTGCTTTCTTGAGGAAGTCAGCTCCAAAATAATAATAATAATATGCCATTTAGCAGACGCTTTTATCCAAAGCGACTTACAGTCATGTGTGCATACATCTTTACGTATGGGTGGTCCCGGGGATCGAACCCACTACCCTGGCGTTACAAGCGCCATGCTCTACCAATTGAGCTACAGAGGACCACAAAATGCAGGTATTTCAGCCTAGCTTAGTGCTTCCTGTGGTGGTGGGGCAGCCAGCGGAAAATACGGAGCCTACAGGTTGGTAATGGTCTCTAGTTGCGCCGTGATTGGCTCAGTGTTCTGTCACTCATGGGGACACTAGTCACTGCCAAATCTACCGGTAGTGCTTGAAAATTCAAGCCCCTTGGGTGCTGCCATAGAGTTACATTAGAAGTGCCCATCCAAGAAGGCTCAAGGTCATTGGCCACAGATACAATGATGTCAAATCACGTTATATCTACAGTAGCTTTGATTGGACTGATAATTTCAACATCATACTTTCAAAATGTTAGCTAGCAGTCATCATCATGAATCAAGTCGACAATATACTGGCAAATCTTTTTTAATCCTTGTCATATGAAGATAAATAAGAGAAATTATAGATAAAACGTATCGGTGCTCATCGGCCATTGGACATAAACAATACACAACAAGTTGGAAATTGCAAATTCAACAAGTGGTTTGGAAGGAATCAGTGTCTAACTGCAAGCATTGCAAAGCAATCACTAGCCTGCTATTCAGTGGAGTGGGTGTGTGGTCCCAATTCTCAGTTTAAGGGTCTCTTTTCCAAGCTTAAAATTATAAACATTCAACATTGGCCATGCTGTCAATCCAGCATGATTTCTGCCGCGCTCAAAACAACTTTTAACTCTGAACTGGGAAATCTGACTTCAGTGAGTTCAAGACAACTGAGAACTCAGGAAAAAACGAGCTCCGACTGGGAAAATACGTTTTGAACGGTCATCCAACTCAGAATTGTAAGTCTGGAACTCGGGCCTCTTTCTAGAGCTCCGTCCTGAAGATCACTGACGTCATCATGGTTCGACCTTGTTTTTTTCCGAGTTCCCAGTTGTCTTGATAACAAAGTTTGATGACAAAATTAGCCCACGAAGGACCGCCACGCCTGTTCAAGTGAGCACAGCACAACAAGGTGAGTCCAGAAATGTATTGTATGCTGCTGCATAAATGATGTAATATGCCAGAGAGATATGTATACTGTAGCTAAGAAAGTAATACTAAGTGTATGTTGTGTAGTAAGCTGTTAGTAGCCCATGTGCCTCACCGTAATAATTTGGTCTATTTTCCTCTTAATTACGCCTACTGTTCTGACTTGTTGGTGCACATGTAGCCTATAACCTGTTTTAGAGAAATGTAATCATCAAATATTGTAAGAGCTTTCATTGTCTGCTTATATGCCCCCTTTATTTATCCTACGGTTCTGACTTGATGTACAGGGAGAACACTGTAAGAATGGCCCATGTTATGAATTTTGTCGCTGTACATTTCAAAAGTGCTGAACAAATAGTTATGTTGACTACGTCCGTCCTAGCTCGCTCATTAATGTCTTAATCGAAATTATGGATTGCCTCTTATCCGCTTGTCGTCCCCTTATGCCATAGTTTGTACATCTCAGTTGTCAGTAGAAACAACATTTGTTTAAGCAAGTCAGCCATATCAGCTATGTTTTTTTTAAAAGGCAGTAAATGAGACAGAATTAATTGTTTCACTGTCAGACAAGGCTCTGCTGATAGCCAGGTGTAGCAGTGGTAAGGTGTTAGGGCCTACATAAAGCTGTCCCAACAGTTTGTGGGCACCGTTTGTCAGCGTTATAGTGCAATTAATGTATTGTTTAGTGTTGTGTGTAGTGGCTTTGCTGGCATGCATCCCCCCAAAATTTATTTAGTTTGCCCTACCAAGATTGACATGCTAAAATCGCCACTGGGCTGTACCACCCGCTTTCAAGTACATTAGCTCATTTTTCATGCCTCTGACATGCGGTAATGATAAATAATGGTGTAATAGCCTACCGTTTTCTTGACATTTTGATTGAATTATTGTGATCGGCTCATGTTTTACCGGTGCGTACCCCCACTAATTATTTTGCCGGACCGTATCGCCTTACTTTCACCACTGGTTATAAAACTCTCAACCACAGACAAAAGCTTTGAGAAAGACTACAGAACAGTTAAAAACGCATCTGTTTTCTTAATGAAAGCACCATTAACTGAAACTATAGCATAGGCTGTCCTTACTCTTTTTGGAAGTATCTAGTAATATAATAAAAAAAAATAGACATATTTGCACACTGGTAACCTGATCACCTGCTCTGTGGTTTTTGCAAATGAGGTCAAATGATTATTCTCTTTATTTATAAACTCAAACTTTCCCAAAAAGTAGAACACGACTTTCAGTTTCCCTGTGACAATATAAATAAAAGTCTCCTCCTCCTCCCAGGAAACTAGCACTGAGGCATCACCCTGACAAGAACCCAGACAACCCAGAGGCAGCTGAGAAGTTTAAGGAGATCAACAATGCCAACTCCATCCTCAACGACGAGACCAAGAGGAAGGTCTACGATGAGTACGGCTCCATGGGCCTCTATGTGGCTGAGCAGTTTGGAGACGAGAGCGTTAAATATTACTTCCTCATGCACAAGTGTTGGTTTAAGGTGAAAAGTATTTTAAGGTTATACACATTTTCATATGTATACACTTTGTAGATGCTTATACCCAAAGTGACTTATTATACAGTGAGTGCATACTGTACATTTTTATTAAGTGTATGTGATCCCCTGTTAGAAATGAACTCATGACCTTGGCGTTGCTAAATTGTACTGTATGTTAATCATTAGGGTCATTAGGGTTCACAGAAAACAAAAATTGGGTTATTATAGTTTTCTAACACTTACAAGTGTATGCATGACAACTCATGTCAATTATGCCCTGTGTGAAACAAATTCCTTCTTTATTTTCCAGACCCTGATGGTGTGTTGTGGGATCTTCACCCTCTGCTGCTGCTGTTGCTGCTGCTGTTTCTGCTGTGGCAGGTGCAAGCCACTGGAGGAGGAGCACGGATACGTAGACCCAGACGAACTGGAGGCTCAGATCAGAGCTGAGCAGGACAGGGGTGAGTGGGGCAAGGCCTGGGGGGAGGTGCATGAGGGAGTACTAGATGGTCCTTTAAGTATTAGGCAGAGGCTGCGGATCCATAGGTAACCGCCTCGACCTGCCCCCTGGATCCCTTTTCCCAGAACTGAAGATCCGAATCCCGTTCGTGTGGTCTCCCTCCCTTCACATTTCTCAATGTCAACCGTGAATGATAATTCTTCAAGTTTTACCGGTGAAACGTCCATGCAGCATCTACATACCAACCATTTGATCTCATTCAGTTTCATGGGGATATGCATTTAGATCTTCTTGAGTTACACAGTGTTGTTTCAAAGTAGCCTACAGTGTTGTTTTGAATGATGTACAGTGAGCGGATTTTAGAGCAGACGGTGTAAACAAACTGTAGCATAGCCTACCTGTGTTTAAAGCACATGTTTTGCTACTGGGGCATGCTGTTGAGTTTTGGCCACTTGAGAGAAAAATGCGACCAATCGCACAATCATCCTAAAATCTCATAAGGAATTAGGTGGTGTTTTTTGTCTTACAGTAACGTTATACTATGCTATTATATTCGGTTCTGTTATGTTGAATACTAACATTATGTGATTTTTGCAGACATTGATTCAGCTTTGAGCTAACTTTATTAAACGAGCACCATTTGCCACCAGTAGCCTGTTGTCTGCAAATGGTGCGTAAAGTAGAGAATCCCGCACATACGCAAAACCTTTGGGACCTTTAGCCATCGGGAAGAAGGGTCCAGAAAAGTCAGATCCGCAGCCACTCCATAAATATTATGTCTGTGTGGGTCAATGAGGTAAACAATACATCTTTAGAAGCTAGTTTTAGAATCCGCCTCTTTGTTTAGAGCAACCAGCACATCACTTTTAAGATGGCTCCAGTGCACTATAACATGCTGAAAGTGCTGAGACTATAATAATAATGACTCAGTCAGGCCCTAGGGCAGCCTCTGGCAACTCAGTTGAAACTCCAAACTAGGTTGGCTTTAACACTCTTTGTGCATTTTGTACACTGTATTACGTGCTTACTGCTTACACCTATTGATTAGTGCTATTGTGGGCTATGTACTGTAGCAGCTTATTAACCCATATGCTTCTGTTTTGTTCTCTTTTGGCAATTGAGCTTCGAATGTGCTCAGTAACTCTAACTGTGCTCTAACTGTGCCAGTGTGCTTATCACTGTGATTGCTTTTGTTGTTGGGAACTTTCTTTAGTCTTGCATGCTACAGCTCTATCTAAAAAGCTTGTCGTGTCCCTTCACACCACTAGCTGAACTAATGCCAATGCTTTCCCCCATTGCCAACCATGCGTTCTTGTTACTGTTTGTTTGTGATGTTGACATGATTAAGGCAATGCTTTCGTTCTGTTAATCAATGGCTGTGTTTACACAGGCAGCCCAATTCTGATGTTATTGGCAAAACGCTGATCTGATTGGTCAAAAGACCAATTAGTGGAAAAAGAATGCAGCCTATGTTTACAAAACAGGTTTTGAAAATGTGGATTATCATTACTAAAAGGAAGGGTTGGTTAAAAAAAGCAGAATACACATTTTCATTTCAAATGGATTAATAAAAGTTTATTTTTCTAATAGGTAATTGCTGCCTGCTTGTGTCCTGGCTTGGCCTAGAAGAGAAGAGCTCAGTGAATTAACAGTACATCTGTTCTCCCTGCAGGTGAACATGAACCCATTGTGATCCAGCCTCATACTGCTGATAATGAGAAGACCTAGTCCGACCACGACCAGTCTGCAGCCAAACCGCTCTGACCCAATACTCACCGCAGCGGACCAGTAAGAACCTGTTAGCGAGGCGTTTTCCCATAGCCAGATCTGTTTGTGCTGTCTTGCCAACCCCTATGGTCATTAGGACTTAGCAAGACAGCACAAACAGATATAGGACCAGGCTAGTCTGCCCACTCTGGTTACTCCCATCTAGGGTTGCAAAATTCTTTCCCAAAATTCACAGGTTTTCCTGAAATAAGGAGGGACTAAGCAGGAAATCCGGAATCCTCCATCCAGGATATCTAGAAAACCAGGGAATTTGACAATACTGTGATCAATTTCTGTGGTTCCTTTTTTAATCAGTGGCAGGTGCTTAAATCATGCAGTCGACCCACCGTACTATATGTGGCCAAAGCCTTATATTTGGATATACACTCAAGCAAAAAAAGAAACGTCCTCTCATTGTCAACTGCGTTTATTTTCAGCAAACTTAATATCTGTAAATATTTGTATGAACATAACAAGATTCAACAACTGAGACATAAACTGAACAAGTTCCACAGACATGTGACTAACAGAAATGGAATAATGTGTCCCTGAACAAAGGAGGGGTCAAAAAGTAATAGTCAGTATCTGGTGTGGCCACCAGCTGCATTAAGTACTGCAGTGTGTCTCCTCCTCATGGACTGCAACAGATTTGCCAGTTCTTGCTGTGAGATGTTACCCCACTCTTCCACCAAGGCACCTGCAAGTTCCCAGACATTTCTGGGGGGAATGGCCCTAGCCCTCACCCTCCGATCCAACAGGTCCCAGACGTGCTCAATGGGATTGAGATCCGGGCTCTTCGCTGGCCATGGCAGAACACTGACATTCCTGTCTTGCAGGAAATCACGCACAGAACGAGCAGTATGGCTGGTGGCATTTTTTGAAATAATTTTTTTATTTCACAAGTTCTCATTTACAACTGCGACCTGGCCAAGATAAAGCAAAGCAGTGCGATAAAAACAACAACACAGAGTTACACATGGAATAAAACAAAACATACAGTCAATAACACAATAGAAAATCTATATACAGTGTGTGCAAATGTAGTAAGTTATGGAGGTAAGGCAATAAATAGGCCATAGTGCAAAATAATTACAATTTAGTATTAACACTGGAGTGATAGATGTGCAGAAGAAGATGTGCAAATAGAGATACTGGGGTGCAAATGAGCAAAATAAATAACAATGTAAATAACAATATGGGGATGAGGTAGTTGGGTGGGCTAATTACAGATGGGCTGTGTACAGGTGCAGTGATCGGTAAGCTGCTCTGACAACTGATGCTTAAAGTTAGAGAGGGAGATAAGTCTCCAGCTTCAGAGATTTTTGCAGTTCGTTCCAGTCATTAGCAGCAGAGAACTGGAAGGAATGGCGGCCAAAGGATGTGTTGGCTTTGGGGATGACCAGTGAGATATACCTGCTGGAGCGCATACTACGGGTGGGTGTTGCTATGGTGACCAATGAGCTAAGATAAGGCAGGGATTTGCCTAGCAGTGATTTATAGATGACCTGGAGCCAGTGGGTTTGGCGACGAAAATGTAGTGAGGGCCAGCCAATGAGAGCGTACAGGTCACAATGGTGGGTAGTATATGGGGATTTGGTGACAAAATGGATGGCACTGTGATATACTACATCCAATTTGCTGAGTAGAGTGTTGGAGGCTATTTTGTAAATGACATCGCCGAAGTCAAGGATCGGTAGGATAGTCAGTTTTACGAGGGCATATTTGGCAGCATGAGTGAAGGAGGCTTTGTTGCGAAATAGGAAGCCGATTCTAGATTTAACTTTGGATTGGAGATGCTTAATGTGAGTCTGGAAGGATAGTTTACAGTTTAACCAGACACCTAGGTATTTGTAGTTGTCCACATATTCTAAGTTAACACAGTGTCCAATGAAGGGCCAGATGTATGCAAAATGGTGTCGTCTGCGTAGAGGTGGATCTGAGAGTCACCAGCAGCAAGAGCGACATCATTGATATACACAGAGAATAGAGTCGGCCCGAGAATTGAACCCTGTGGCACCCCCATAGAGACTGCCAGAGGTCCAGACAACAGGCCCTCCGATTTGACACATTGAACTCTATCTGAGAAGTAGTTGGTGAACCAGGCGAGGCAGTCATTTGAGAAACCAAGGCTATTTAGTCTGCCAATAAGAATGCGGTGATTAACAGTCGAAAGCCTTGGCCAGGTCAATGAAGACGGCTGCACAGTACTGTCTTTTATCGATCGCGGCATTGTCATGCTGGAGGGTCATGTCAAGATGATCCTGCAGGAAGGGTACCACATGAGGGAGGTGGATGTCTTCCCTGTAACGCACAGCGTTGAGATTGCCTGCAATGACAACAAGCTCAGTCCGATGATGCTGTGACACACCGCCTCAGACCATGACGGACCCTCCACCTCCAAATCGATCCCGCTCCAGAGTACAGGCCTCAGTGTAACGCTCATTCCTTCGACGATAAACGCGAATCCGATCATCACCCCTGGTGAGACAAAACCGCGACTCGTCAGTGAAGAGCACTTTTTGCCAGTCCTGTCTGGTCCAGCGACGGTGGGTTTGTGCCCATAGGCGACGTTGTTGCAGGTGATGTCTGGTGAGGACCTGCCTTACAACAGGCCTACAAGCCCTCAGTCCACCCTCTCTCAGCCTATTGCGGACAGTCTGAGCACTGATGGAGAGATTGTGCATTCCTGGTGTATCTCGGGCAGTTGTTGTTGCCATCCTGTACCTGTCCCGCAGGTGTGATGTTCGGATGTACCAATCCTGTGCAGGTGTTGATACACGTGGTCTGCCACTGCGAGGACGATCAGCTGTCCGTCCTGTCTCCCTGAAGCGCTGTCTTAGGCGTCTCACAGTATGGACATTGCAATTTATTGCCCTGGCCACATCTGCAGTCCTCATGCCTCCTTGCAGCATGCCTAAGGCACGTTCACGCAGATGAGCAGGGACCCTGGGCATCTTTCTTTTGGTGTTTTTCAGAGTCTGTAGAAAGGCCTCTTTAGTGTCCTAAGTTGTCATAACTGTGACCTTAATTGCCTACCGTCTGTAAGCTGTTAGTTTCTTAACGACCGTTCCACAGGTGCATGTTGATTAATTGTTTATGGTTCATTGAACAAGCATGGGAAACAGTGTTTAAACCCTTTACAATGAAGATCTGTGAAGTTATTTGGATTTTTACAAATTGTCTTTGAAAGACAGGGTCCTGAAAAAGGGCAGTTTCTTTTTTTGCTGAGTTTATATATTTTTATGTCTCAATATAAGGGTCTGTATGTGGCTCATTGTAATTATATATTGGGGTCTATGTTTACAAGAATCGTACATTCTTATGATTGTGCCAACTGCCACGTTTACCTTAATGCTTTCTTTGTAGATTTGAAAAATTTAGCATTTTTGAATAGTACGGTACAATATGTACAGAGTAACGGCTTCTATGCATTCTCAATGGAGAGTGTAGGGAGGGTGATTGAATAGAAACTGATGTGCCTCCCAAATGGCACCATATTCCCTATGTGTAATGCACTATTTTTGACCAGAGCTATGTAGTGCACTACTTTTGATCAGGGCCCATAGGGCTCTGGTCAAAAGTAGTGCACTATATAGGGAATAGGAAGCCATTCGAGAAGGAAGGGAAGGGAAAGCACAGCCTGAGTCTGAAGTTGTAAATTAATGTGCACTTTAAACACCTTCTAGGTCGTTCCACAAAATTAGTCTATTTTGGGTCGTGTAACTTGTTAAAAAAATATATACATTTCACATAATTTTGTCATAAAGAGTACATGTTCAACTTAATAAAAAACATGTTTTCCCATCTCGAGGTTAAATAAAAAAAAGTAAAACAAATCGAGGTTAAATAAAAAAAAGTGGGTTAAAATCTTCCTAGAAGTCACAGAGGGTGCACAAAGGGACATGACAAAATGCTGAATCTTTGCACTTTAGAAAGATTCATATTAATAATCAGATATATTGAAAGTTACATGTTAAATGGCACTTCATTTAATGTTTTTTTTGTAAATATTGGTGCACAATTTCTACTTTAAATATTAAAGGGACTCATTTTGTGGAACGACCCTTCTAAGTGTAATCATCCAGTTATAATAAGGGCTGCTGTGGACTGCCACTACCCGTTGTGTGGGAGCCAATAACTGCAGCTTTAACCTATGAACCAATGTGAAGAGACGCCAAAAGTTTGAATGTGGTGTTTATATGTTTGTTTTAGGCATTATTTTGGCTGTTTGTTCAGACTTTATTTTCTGTTTTCCAAAGCTTATGATTCCAATTGTAGGAACTGCCATACATGTGCTCACTTTTTTTCATTTTCTCATATTAATCTCTTATACCTCCCTCTCTCTCTACATGGAATAATATTGTAGTTCTTGTCATTTAAAACTCACTCTGTATTTCTTCCTGACCCATATGACTTCCCATTTCTTCTGATGTTCTCTTGTGTGATCTGGATTCAGTGTCAAATTTTGTTTCTGTGCAGTATAGTGTACACTCTATTTTTATATTGAGCTCTTCCTAAGCACACCTGCTTGACTTTTTAAACACTTGGACACCAAATAATGCCATTTGTTGAAAGGCATTGTCTCACACACCAGCGATCCTCAGATTTTAAAGTGGCTTTCTTTTGTAGTTCAGCAGTATCATATTCAGTGAAAACTGAAGAAAAAAAATCTATTGCAGTTAAAACATATTGCTGTGATTATTTCTTTCATTTCTCTCCTTGGGGATTTAACTGTGTCAAATGCTGTTGATATGATATTTTGTCCATAGCTCTTTCATTTTCCCAACCTAATATGCAGGATTCCTCAAAGGCTTTATTGTTAGTAATACATTAATTCAAATTCTCCTTTAATTAAAATGTTTCCTTTTGGTTTTTATCCTACTTTCTATTTTATATACTGTTGATACTGTAAAATATATTTATATAAGTGTATGTTGAATAAATTGGGGGTTATGTAAAGA